TATGCTGACCCCTCCTGCTGGGTGCTGAGCCATCCCACCCCCCAAAGCAGCCCCAGCCCTGCCTGGGCTCCCCGAGGGCACTGTGGTTCCATCTGACCCCTTCAAGAACATGCTCAGCTCCCCAAGCCCTGCATTTCCTGCAGCCCAGCTCCACGTTCCCCTCTCACTCCCTGTCACACCCCCAGGAGCTGTGGGGAGCTCCCTGGCCAAACATTCCAAGGCAGGAACCAGGGCACGGTGCAGCTGCTGCAATGCAGCACTCCACCAGCTCCCACACTCCACAAACACCCTCTGCCAGCACAATCCTGCTAATTGGGGTCGGGCTAAATTTAAGTTCTATTTAGTTTCCTTAAAGAGAGAAAAACTTGAGGGGAAAAAAAAGAATCTCTGCCTACAAAGGGAATAAGAACAAGGTCTCTTCAGGAGTCAGGAATTGGGGTGGATTTGCTGTATCTCACAGCTCCATAAAATTGTGACAGGACACAGAGAATGGCTTGAGCTGTGTCAGGGGAGGTTTGGGTTGGATACTAGGAAAAGTTTTTCCCCCAGAGGGTGCTGGCACTGCCCAGGCTCCCCAGGGAATGGGCACAGCCCCAAGGCTGCCAGAGCTCCAGGAGCCTTTGGAAGCACTGCCAGGGATGCCCAGGGTGGGATTGTTGGGGGGTCTGGGCAGGGGCTGGACCAGATGATCCTGTGGCTCCCTCCCAACTGGGAATGCCCCCTGAATTTGTAAAACAAACCAGCAAGGCAGGTGGCAACTGCACCAACTCAACTGGGAGCATTTCTGAGGGCAGTGGAGAAACAGCAACTCCCTGCTGAGCCTGGTCTGCTGCCAAGTGACGCTTCCCAAGCCCAGCAGGAGCCAAGAGATGAGTAAGGCACTGGATGGGATGCAGACAGGACCCTTCAGGCAGGCTCCACGGGGTGTATGGAGCTGACTGGAGAAATATTGTGCAAACCAAGATACTTGAAGGGAGCATTACCACAGGCTCTGCCAACAGAGAAGTCCAAAATCCCTCCTATCAAAACTGGTTTTACTCCTGCAGGTCCCAGCCCATCATTCAGCGCTGATATGTGACAAGAGAGAAGAAAAGGACACCCTGCTGAGACTTTCACTGGAAGCAACTCACCTATGCATACCCAGCCCCATGCCCAGGAGCCTTGTGACTCCCAGTTCCCTCTTCCCCAAGCAGCTTGGAGCACAGATAATTTTGAAATATAATCCTGTGATCTGCCCATGACTCAGAACCTCACCAAAGAGACCGGACAGCAATGCTTCCTTCCCTCCTTTCCCTTCCCTCCAAAGGCCTTTGGGGAAGGACTGCTTGCACCCCATGGAGGTGGAACTCCTACCCTGGAAGGGCTCCAGCACTGTTTGGACAGCTCAGAGTGTCAGCACAAACCAAACTGGAACTGAAAAGCAAACACACCAAATCCAACCCCCAGGACACTGCCTACACTCAGCATAGTCCCCACCATGAATCACCAGAAACACAGCAGGGTTCAGGGTGCACTGCTCATCCCTCACACTTGTTAAATCCTCACCTCCCTCCTTGTAGCTGCTCAGTGTTCCTGCTCAGACCCACACAGGACACTCTGGGAAATGACCTGCTACACCCTCCCCAGGGCAGCAGCACCACCAGCCTGCTGCTGCACTCCTGCCCTGCCCAGACACCCTTCCCTGGGGAGAAACCTGGGCACAGACAGATCATATCCTGATCTTTAGAGCTGCAGGTTCTGTCCTGCAGCCTGGGAGGCACCTCCCAGCACAGAGTGCATGGCTTCACCTTGGCATAGGCCCATCCCAAAAACTCCATGCCACGATGGCACACCTGGTTTGCTTTAAGAGCCATAAAAGGCCCACCTGGGTCAGCACCTGGCTCCCAGCAATGCCCAGGAGCTTTGGGAAAGGCAGGAGGAGGGAGCCAGGGACACTCAGTGCATTCCTGCAGCCCCATCCAGGGAACTGGCTCAGGGAACCTCTGAGCCCAGCACTGGTGCCTGGCTTATCTAGCCAAGCACACAGCCCTTCCCAGTGCCACATTCCCAGGCAAGTAACAAAAATCACCGATCCTCAGTGGGATTTTAGTCCTTTTCTGAGCCGTGGGGCCTTCAGCCAGCAACTCCAGAAAACCTCCCAGCAGTGCAGCCACTGCCTCAGCTGCAGGCAGCTAAAATGCAGGGCCAGCTGCTGCCTGGGAACACCCAGCTCAGATAACCACAAAATGCTCTGCTAGGTCAGGACTTGGCGAGTGCAGCACGTGGAGCTTTGCAGGACGGCATCCCAGGGCTCCTGCTCCCTAACAGCAAACCAGGGCACATCCCTGCATCACTTTCCTCCTGTGCATCCCATGCCAAATTTATCCTCCTCCTGAGAGTGGCTCAGAGGATGCAGAATGAGGGATTACTTGCTGAGCCCACAGAAAGACAAGGTACTGCAGTGAGTGAAACATCTCCACTGTGCTTGTAAATCCCCTCTGGGTACACAGCAAACATGTTCTTCTCCTCACTAAGCAACCTGAGCCAGCTGCCTCGGTGCAGGGTTTATTAAAAAAATGTTACACCTATTGCAGTTTTTGTCCTTATCCCTTTTATTCTCTCATTCCTCTTCCCACTCACTAAAATTGAGCACAGTTGCAGAGATTCATGACTACAGAATTTAGGTTGCTCATGTTGTTTCTTAGCAAATTCTTGAAAATTTGTCATCTTCACAAAGCTGGTAACTAAGAAAATTCTTAGCATAACTCCAGTTTGTTTCAATATTGCATTTTTGAGGTGGACATGATGCCTTGTCACTCACTGCAATCACCAGGGACAGTGGCATTTGCTCCTTCAGCCTTGATAAATATTTTTGGGGACGGGACATTGACCCAACCAAACCATCACGAGCTTAAACAAACCAATTAATGTATTGGGTTCCTTTTGTTCTTCTGAACTCTCATGTTCTAGGTTGTGATTCCAAATAACACCAGCAGGTACCATGCTCAGCCAGAGCATGCTCTGAGCTCCTGGAAAAAGCACTTGATGTTCTGATTATGAGAAGCAGCTTTTTAAATTCACCTCAGGCCCCTTTCAGCAGGTCAGCACTGCAAGAGGCTCCACGACTGAGCTACAGTAATGCTACAGGAGGAGGGAATCTTAAAATGCTGTGCATGCACAGACCCAGAAATGTCTCCACCAGCCCCATCCCAGGGATTACATCACTTGGAATACAGGTCAGGGAGCTGAATCACATGGAAAACAACAATCCTGCTGTGGGAAATGGAGTCATACCCTGCTGGCAACAATCAAATTGGATCTGCTTCACTCCAGGGAGTTAGGAAAGGGTTATTAAAATGAGGGTGAAAGCAGCTGGTGACTCCTGAGCTGAGGGATCTCATTAGCATAGCCCAGTCAGCGTCAGCCCAATGTGTGGGATGGAGGGGAGAGACCAGGACAAGGACAGAGCTCCCAGAGACTGTCAAACAAGAACCTCCAGTGGAGTTCAAGCAGTTTAGTTCAGCTCAGGATGTGTCTTTGAATGCTAAATAAACCACCCTTGAAGCCAGGGGAAGCAGTCGGCACAGAGGGCAGGGAAAAGCTTTGGCCATCACTGCCTTGTGCCTAAGGCAAACAGACAGGAGGAGGGCTGGGGGGAGAGGGAATTCCCTGCTGCCCATCAATGAGCTCACTCTGCTTGCATGGCACCTGCCCTCCAGGAGTGCTCCCACAGCACACACACAAAACCAGCTCCAGAGCCATCTGGTGCTGTGAATTACCTACTCCTGATGCAGCTCCACATGGGTCAGTGTCTGCTCCTGACTCCAAACCATCTCTGGTGCTTCGCAAGCCCCAGTAAGGATCTCTGCTGGCTCCAACTGAGCCAACGAGCCTTGCCACAGTTCTGACTCCATAAGGACAAGCACATGCTCTGCACCAGCTGGTAGTGAAACACTTTTATGTGAGGTGAGGGAGTGCACATCTCTGTTACCAACCAAATCAGCTGGAAAAACAGCAAGAAATTACTCCCTGCCCTTTGCCAGCCCTTTTCCAAAAGGCATTTGGACGAACAAGAAGTCTGAAGACTCACTGAAAACAACTTTAACAGAGAAACTCCTTTCCTGCCCCACACATCCTGTCACTTCTCCCTCTGCCTGCACACAAAAGCTGGGAGACACCAGATGGACAACTCTGGCCCAAGGGATCTGCTGCAAAGCCAACAGATCCCATCACTCCTTTCCTGATGGCCTTTACTCCTGGGCAAACCTAGAGCCCACAGCTGCTGCAGGCTGCGTTCCCAAGCATCCCTGGGTGTGGGCTCCTGATGGGAACAGCTGAGCCTGGGGCCCTGGGAACGCATCCCAGGGCTCTGGCTGTTCCTCAGCACTGCAGGAACCTGGGCTGGAGGTGGCACAGGGAAAGGGCAGGAAAGAGCCCGTGAAATCTAAGTTCATCCCAGGAAGAGTGGTAACAATTGTGTAATTTTTTTCTTGGAATGGAGAGGTTTGCTCCTCTGCCTCCCTGAACTTTCCCTCGCTGATGGGGAGGGAAAAGGGACCCTGAACGGAGAGGAAAAGTCAGCTGTGAGGAAACACAATATCCAGTTAATTCCTGTAAATCCTGTGAAATCCAAAGAAAAGGCAGATGAAGGATTTACACTGCAAATTGTGCTAGAATCATACAAAGGTACTGAGTTAAGAGAAATGTAGGGGTTTAACATGCCTGTTAATCACTGACACTGACATACAAATAACGCTTATATTCCTGGAAAAAAAAAAAGAATTGAAGACTGAAAGAGATTGAAAACCCATCTGCAGGAGTTGCAGCCACCTTCAGTGCTTCCACACTGAACCATGGTGCTTCCCACGTCGAAGCACAATGTTTGCTTCTCATTAGCCTCAGTTTCCCATTCAGCCACGGATTTGTGTCACACATTTGTCCCCCAGCACGACCCTGAACAGCCACGGTCACTCTGACAAATTCCCAACAGAGGAAGAGCTCAGGAGCAGGTTGTTTCTTACCATCATGGCCAGAGTTGAGCAGGTGCTCCCCCAGGTCACAGCCAAACACCCTTTCCTTGAGGATCCCCCGCTGTTTCAGTTTCTGTTTCGTTGGGCGCGACTTCATGAATGTCCGCAGGAAGGTGATGAGCTTCCCGTGCTTCTTCGACACTGCACAAGAAAGGGACAACCAGCTCATTCCACGCCTGGCAACCACTGAGCACGACCCTTCTACAGAGCATGTAAGAACTGGAGTAGCATTAGCATCAATTATTTACAGAAACACATTTCCCAAGGTTTGACACTAAACACAGACTTGGCTTTTTGTCCCAGGCCCTGGCTCGTGCGGAGCTACCAGGAGCGAGCTGCAATGGAAGGACTCACACAGAGACACATTTCCTGCAGAGTAGCTTCAGGCAGGAGCCACCTGAAGGGATGATGGTGGGCAGCACCTGGGAGGGGCAATTTCATATCTGGGAAAGGGAAGGAGGCTCAACTGAGAAATCTGGTAATCTCCTGTGCAAACCAGTGTGTAATCTACACACAGAAATAAAGCTTTGTGACTGGCCCTTGCTCTGGTCTGAGGCCCCTGCAGAACAAAGGGCTGGCTATAACCTCTGAGGCTGAGCAGGCAGAACTCCCTGAGAGCCCAACCTGCCTTCCCAGCACACCAAGGCCTCACTGCCCCTCACTGCCCCTGCACAGGCACCACCCCAGAGCTTCAGCAGCTCCCTTCTCAAGCCATCACAAAATAAAAACAGACTCACAGTCACTGAGGTTGGAAAAACCCTCCAAGGCTATCAAATCCAACCTGTGCCAAATCCCCACCCTGTCACCCTGCCCAGAGCACTGAGCACCACATCCAGGTGTCCCTTGGACACCTCCAGGGATGGGGACTCCACCACCCCCACTGAACAGATCACAAAGGCAGCTGATGGAAGAGATGCAGTTTATCCTCTCCAGAATGAACACAAGCAGCATCCAAAGAGAGGAGGATCTGGCTCAGGCAGGAGATGCCTTCCAACCTCCTGCTGTGTCTCTCTGGGCTGTGCTGGGGAAACTCTGGTCCCTCTGCTAAAACCACCTGCTCAGGAGCTGAACCCCAGTGCAAGGCAAAGGAGAGCAGTGGGTGACACAACGACCTGGCCCTGGCAGGAGAGGCCAGCCTCAGGTTGAATGGAAGCAGAACAATGCCCTGGAATGTCAATGTTCCTCCAGAGGCCCTCAGAGCCTCCCCAACAAAGGTGCCATTGTGTACACGATTTAAAAGCAGTTTAATTCAACAGAAGAGCTCTACTGAAGTGAACAAACTGCTGGGTACAAAGGGCCGTGCATTGTGGAAGCCTTTGCAGCTCGGGCAGTTGTAAAGGCTCCTGCAGCAGCAGCTATCACCCTCCCCTGCTCCTCCCTCTCATCCCAGGCAGGAAAGACAAGAACCCTGTATTCCACCTGCATGAATACTGCACAAATACTGCAATCAAGTATCATCAGAGTAACACCTTCCACAGCAGCAAAGATACCTAGGGACAAAGGTTCATCCCTTCAGTGTCACCTCTGCTGCCTAATGAAATGTGAACTACAGAGAGCAGCTCTGAAACTGGGACTCAGCAAAGAGCAAAGATGGATGGGCACTGCTTCCCTCAGGTGGTTCTTCAAGCAGGGAACACAAAAACCTTGTCCCAAGATCCTGGTTGTACCACACAATGCTTCAGGATGCTTTAATCCCTTCACACAGAGGAATATTTCTCCTTCCATTTTACCAGACACTGACATGGTCCCTCTACTGAGATATGTAATAAACCTGATATATGTATATTTATATAATAAACCTGATTCCACTGACCTTAACAAATTTGCACTGATGTGAAGAAAGCAAACGTCTCCTTCTGCACAAAGTCCCCTGTAGCAGTGTAACACTAAATTGATCCTCAGCACCACCTGAACACCTGAAATCCCAAAATCCCCACCAAACCCCAGATCTGCATGCTCAGCAATCAAACCAAATTTATTTAACAACCACAGGAGCCTTGAGCATGACAAACTGTGGCTGTGGGGGCTTTAATTAAAGGAGTGCTCGCAGTTTGATGGGGCTTTTTAATTGCACACAATAAAGGAACAGATTGTGCTGACATGCCAAACAAAGTTAGGATGGGGTTTGGTTGTATCCATCATCACAGGAAAATAAGGGCTCATTTATCACCTGCTATCGGCCCAGCTCAAGGATAAATGGAGACAGTCTCATCCTGATTAGCGAGGAATTTCCAAGGTTAGCACCCTCGGGCAGCTGTGGTAACACCACTGGAGGTGAGAGACCTGAGACAGATGCTTTTACAACAGGCAAACAGAGCACCTACTAATCCAAATAAAGCAATCATTTATATGTGTTTATTCACTTGAATCATTTCACACTCTGAATACTATGTACCTTGCTTGACTTAATGAAAAACGAGCCCATCAGAGAATGGATTTTAGTGGAGAAAAACGCATCCAATTCTAGTCCTGAGGAATTTCTACTACTAATGCAGATCAACAAGCAACTTTTGGGTGTCACCTCAGCACTAAAACCAGAAAAAAAACTGCAATGGGTGCATTTCCATGGTCCAGAGATGTACTTGGCTTGGTACTGGCATCATTGACCAGAAAAGTGAGCCGAGTTTTTAAAACATAGTAAATCTGTTCTGCCTTTAAGCCACTCAGTGCAGGTTAAAATAATTGTCCTGCTTTCTGCACCATTAAGCAGACTCCCACAAACTCCCTGCCACAGAGAAGTGCTGCAGCAGCCAAGGACTCTGCGAGGGCAGGTTCAGCCAGCAGAAATTCCCTTGTCCCCAGCCTGTGGAAGTGTTAGCACAGCTCCTTGGTTTGTAACAAGGCTGCTCTGGATCACTGCCTGCTCTGCAAGCCTCTCTGAGGCTGAGCCCAGCTCCGAGGGCTGTACCCACGCAGGAATGATTCACTCAGGCTTCTGCTGGGTGGGGGAGAACAAGAGAATGGCAAGAAAATCCAAGCAGTCATCTCCCTGCTGACAGGTTATTAAGGAGAAGGAAAGCAGGTAGGTGTCTGAGAGGGATGAGCTCTGCTCCTCCTGCAGCAGCAGCAAAGGTGGGATCCCCCCACCCTCGGGCATTGCCCACCCTCGAAGCACCAGCGCATCCCGAGGGATGAACTCCTGCTGCATCCTGCTTTGGGTGAACATAGCACAGCACAGCCAGGCTCTGGACAAGCACCAACGCCAAAAGCTGCCAGGAATGTTGCAGAATCCGTGTTTTCTGCTCCAAAACACCCATCCAGGGCTTCACTGCCCCACAGGTGACAGTGACAGCAGCAGCCAGCAGTGCCCACCAATAACTGCTCTGCACCCAGAACTGGTGACTGCAGGAAAACCAGGGAATCAAGGCACAGGGTTTAGACCTGAAATAAATCTTCAAGTGTTACAAACCAAGCTGATATGGATAAAACAATTAACCCTTTCCCACCATTACTGTCCCTCCAATAAACCAGGGACATGATAGAGCTGATCCACCCACAGCTTGAGTCTCCACACAAGGTGTTCATAGAAATAAATTTGGTAACCAGCATTAGCAACAGAAAATTTCAAATGGTTGCTGTGCTTTAAGTTACCAACTGAAAGCCAAACCAAACTAAACAAAAATTCCAACATTTATCCATATTACTTTCCACCTCAGACTTAACCACCACAAAACACAATGTTTACCAAGAAATGGAGACTTTCCTAGAAGGAGCAAGGGCTGCTTTCCTCAGAAAGGCAGATTTAGCTTAATATCCTAGCCTGAAGAAGCAAAGATAAATTCTCCATCCAGTGGAGAGTGGCTGGCTGCAAAAAACCCTCAAATGAAACCCAAGTGAAAAACCCCACCTGAGTCTGGACCACTTCTGAAGTTTTGCTGGCACAAATATATCAATTAGGAGCATACAAAAATCTCCGTTCCCTTTGCTGTCATAACTGTGCTGGCCAAAGCCTTTACGTGGTGGGGAGGAGGGGAAGGAAAAGGATTCCTTGTGCCAGGTAGTTCATTGTGGCTTTGGGAATCTGCCCAGTACCTCCCCCAGGAACATTTATTAGGCAGTGCTGTTGTTTCACCACCAGCATTTGTGGTGCAAGTGAGGCCCCAAATCCCCCTGACACTGGTAAAAGCTATTAAATAACAACCTCTTCATTAAAAACAGGGCTCCTTCACCCTCAGGACATGCTTTCTGCAGCTTTACTGAAGAGCTGTGCCAGCCACCAGCTCCTCGTCAGCTTCACGCTCTTGGTCAGGACAACTCACCCCCCTGGAATCCAGGGATCCATCCCTTGGGATTTGCTGAGGACTCCTGAGCCTTCCTCTGAGCTCAGCCCCTGGTGGCACTGCTGGGTGTCCCCACACCACAGGCTCAGCCCCTGGTGGCACTGCTGGGTGTCCCCACACCACGAGCTCAGCCCATGGTGGCACTGCTGGGTGTCCCCACACCACGAGCTCAGCCCATGGTGGCACTGCTGGGTGTCCCCACACCACAGGCTCAGCCCCTGGTGGCACTGCTGGGTGTCCCCACACCACAGGCTCAGTCCACGGTGGCACTGCTGGGTGTCCCCACACCACAGGCTCAGCCCCTGGTGGCACTGCTGGGTGTCCCCACACCCTTCCCTGAGGCTGAGCTGAGGCACTGCCGTGAGCTGGATTAACAATAATCTGCTGCCCCTGATGCTCTTAAGGGGCAGAGCTGGGCCAGCCCAGGTGAGACAGCCCAGAACCAACCTGCTCTCCCTGGTCCTGATCCCTCCTTGTGCCCCATGGATTCATTAGGGATGCAGTTATTTGGGATTCACAGCACAGTCCACCAACACCACGTGGCTCAGCCCAAACTTCACAAGTGATGTCTGGCCACAAAATCCTTCCCAAGACCACTGCAATATTTAATTAGAATTGCCCAAAGTGCTGCCAACAGAAGGAAAGATAGGATGGCAAAGAGCACTGTCTCCTTCTGATTCCTTGGCTTTGGATCATAGAGACCAAACAGGAAAAATCCCTTTAACAAACAAATAAATGCAGCCTTACTGTGTCCCCAGATTTGTTCTGCTCAGCAAGAAAAGCCCCGTGAGACAAAGGCTTGAGAACAAAACACAACCCAGCCAACCCTACAGCAGGACAGCATCTCTCAGCTGACTCATC